TCTTCCTCCCAACATCAAGGGAGAAGTCAGGGCACATGGATAAGACACAGGTGTCATTTTAGCTTCAGAGGAGAGAAACTGATACTCATTTCCTGCTCTTCAGCTTGAGGGTGAAAGAGCAGCAAGTCAGTTATGACTATATGACATATCTAGAAACCCACCTCCAGCTCACTCTCTGAGGTCAGTAAGAGACTGTAGTTAACACCCCAGGGTGGACTTGCAGAGTTAGTGGTGATCTCACAGTTGAGCAGGTTCTTCCTGCCCCTGGTTAAGAAACAGCTGCAGGTCAGAGTCCCCTCTCAACGATTCAAACCCCCCTGGCTCTACAGGTATCCCCAAGGGCAGCAGAGCTATTGGCAATGCACAAACCAGAATAAAACCCAGTTACTTGTCCCAAGTCTTAGCAGACTCAGAGAGGTTAACTGCTCAAAGCTAGGTCAGAGGAGAGCAACGGTACAGCCAACAGCTCCTCTTGCTATGCAGTGGGGGATGTCTGCTGATAAAGGCACACACTAACTGCTGCACGTTAGGGCTTCAATTGTACCATTAAAACACACAGCAAAGTTGCTCTGACTCAAGTGGATTGTTTTTGCTCTAGTGCAACCTGCAAGATCAGTTTCTTTCACGAAAAGTTTCCAGATAACCATTAAAAAGAAGTCTTCAAAATTAATCATTTTCATTATTCCCAATGGAAGAGAGGCCCGTCAGACAAGGTGCCTGTCAGTAACCCTTCCCTTTCTTTCTCTCCCCAGCAGGTTTTGTGTATGCATTACAATTTGTCTGCAGTTGTCCACAAGGGCAGAGGTCTCCCCAGATATTACTTCCCCATAATATTCCATGGGAGAAGCAATTAGATTAACAGAGATTTAAATTAGCATGTTAAAATAGAGGAGTCAGGTCTCAGCTACAGCACTGCATAATCAGAAGACACAGAGCAAGCCTACCTTTTTAAATCCAACTGCTCACAGAACTACTCATTTTTCCTTTAATTTAAACATTCCATGCAGATAGCTAGTCTTTGGTACAAACCTTCCTCCTCTCTTGGAGTAAACCTGCACTTCAGCAGGCAACATTTGCAAGGAGAGGTCACGTACTGCAATAGATCCATGACAGGGTTGGAAAAGGAGGGACTGTCTTTTGGGCTCACACACCCAAAGCACATTGATGCCACAACAGGGCACATTACAGTTGCCTAATGTTGCCCCAGATTGCACCAAAGTTTTCCTAGGTCTCCATCTATAGTTGCAGATTGAAAACCATTTGTGTGCCTCCATCATCTCTTTTCTTGGTTTAAAATTCAACACACCGAGTACAACATGGGAAGACCAGCACTCACCATAAATATTTTAAAATCTAAATAGCCATTGCCCAGATCCAGCAGGAGAAACCAGCTTAGATTTGAATACTTTTCTTAATCCAACACCAAAGAATTTCTGAATCCAAGATTAATAATTAATTTAGCACTAAGGTCCACTTTTTTCTTTCCCCTCCAGTTTACAAGCTTCTCTATCATTAGGGGGGAAAACACTGCAACAAATTCTCCCCTAAATAAAGGAACATTTCAGTAGTACAACAAGGCTTATGTTTCTGCAGCCATAAATGCCAGGCAATTGGACCTCATTTTCTCCATAAACCTATCCCTCAAATTAAACAGCGTACAGTGGTCACTTCTCTTCCTTGGCTACTGCCACCTCAGGGAATCACGAAGCATGAAGGTGCCACTATTCCACCAGAAACCCCTGGGTTTGCCTCACTTTGCACATTTGAATTGGTCCACTGCACTCAGGCTGGCCCTGGTCCCTGAGCACACATAAGTCACTGCAGTAAGCACCAGTAAATGAAACTTTAACATCTGCATGACGCAGAGTTCAAAAGGCAACTGAACTCAGAGGGAAGGGGATTAGAAGCAGCTAGGAAACACGGGTAAGGTACACAGCCTCTCTGTAAGGACAGACTTTTACTCCTCCATGGAGAAGGACAGCTTGGGAGTCCAATAAAAGCAACTGCCAGAGCAAACCGAGGCACCCTCAAGTATCCTGCTTTAAGGATACTCTCAGACTCTTCTCTAGCCTTTGATGTGACAGGCAACGTGGGACCTGCTGTTCCAAGCACAACAACCAGCAGGGCTATGCAGAAGACTTGCCAAAAACCCAGAAGGGACACAACGCCCTCCCCATCCCCACCACCCTGCAGGGCACTGCTAGAGATCCCCAAGGCAATGCAGCTCCAGTAACACACAGGGAAGGCAATTCCATGGCTGAAAAGGTTACACAAAGGACTAAGCACAGTTCTCCCCTGCACAGGAAGAGAGGACCCAGTATTCTTGGTACCCTTCTACTCCATCTCCCTTACAGGCATCATCTGTCTGCAGACCCTCCAAGTACCCAGCCTGGCATCACAAAGAGCAAGGAGGCCTCATCCCTGCCTCATCCTGCACACCTGCAGGAGGATCTCTGTAGGGACACAGGGAAACTGCAGATAAATCAAAGCAGAACACTCAAGAAAGATGCCTGAAGCCAGAGGAGCTGCACTTTAAGAGCACAAGTCTCTGAAGCTTAGTTTGGGTGTACAGGCACCGTTGATTAGAGGAGCAGTCTAGCAGACCAGGGCTACAGCAGAAAACTCAGCTGTGGGTCAGGGGCACGCGAGATACTTTCTAAGGAAGCTTCACACAGAGGAAGGTATCACTGCAAAGCAAGAAAAAAAAGTTTCAGTCCTGCCCATTAACAGCTGAGGTTCAGTAAGAATACAATCCTGACTACTCTAGAGATTCTTAGACCTGGCAAACCTCCAGGTCAGGAAACTACAGCCTTTCCAAAACACTTTTGAATGGTTAGAGCTAGAGGAGCCCTCCCTGCTGCTACCCCACTGCACACAACTGCTTTGAGCTGTTCCTGAGCTCTGTGTGTCCGTGGCAGAGTGAGCTGGTGGGTTCTCAGCAACGATGGGCCAAAATATAAGTACTGGTGGCCTGATTCTACAGCAGTTCTGCATCAGCAGAACCATCCACTCTTATGGAGCTCTCAGTTTACACCAGCACAGGTGAGAAGGGAGAACTGGGAGGGCACATCAAATATTTAGGAGGAAGCAGAGGTTATAGGCCATGTTCAGCCTCACTGAGGAACAAATGCATCCAAGCTCTGACAAGAAGGATGGGGGCTGCAAGGGACAAAAAGCTTCACACACAAGTGCATAGGGAATGCACACGGATGAAATATGGGCTCTTGCAAATAAAACAGAAACCACAGAGCTCCCCAAAGAAGACCTTGCTAGCAACCAGATATTATCTTTTTGATACTCACCCTCATTAGACAGCAAGCAATAAAACCTATTAGTGAAAAATTCATCTCCTCTGCCCCTTGCCCTGGCCCTCCCCCACCACATGCCCTCCTGCTCTGATCCTCTCTCTCTTCTAGGATGGCTGCGATTTGTTCTGGGAAGCGACAGGTTTATAGGTTAGCTGACACCTTCTCTCTGTGGAATTTTAATTAACTTCTCCCATCGTCAATATGTTAAGGAGCAGAGTTCCCATTATACGAGGTCAGCAGCGTGTTTCAGGCCCTGCTATATCAGCCGTCAAATTGAAGAATTAATGACGTGGCTAATTGGCTCTAATTCTCCACACCCCCCCTCCCCAAAATATGGAGGGGTAAGGGGGGGGCAGTGGGGTGGGCTAGCGGGGGAGGCTGTTACAGTCCAGTCTCATTACAAAAAGTGCACAATTTAAGCCCACTTGTTCATGGGGTAGCTGTTCCACCACCTCCCATTTATCACCCTGCAGGGAGGGAAGGGGGGGGTGGGGAGACAGTGGGTAAATATTGTGACAGAGTGTGCACAAGCGTGCACACCAGGGAGAGGAACACTGTCCTGACAAGAGGCCACCTCAGTAGGTCATCACTTAGGAGTAGGAAGCAGCATGCCACTGGGCTCTAACCAGCCACGGTGCTAGAGCCAGAGCCTGCCTGCTGGAGAAGGGGCCCTGCCAGCACAGAAGACAGTGAAGCACTTCTCTGTGACATCTTGCAGCAGCATTAACACACGTGGCACCTCTTCAAAACCACTATCTGTCTCAAACACTCAGAGCAACGGGATGAGGGAACGGCAAAATCATAGCGTGCCTGGAGGGTCGTTTCCCTGATAATGCCATTAGCTCTGCTGCCTGCAAAACAAGCTTGGAAATCTAATGAGGACAGCAGTCGTGTGAAGCATTTTGGTCTTGCACAAGCCTAAATGCACTAGTTGCAGAAATCACATGGGCAGTAACAACAGCTCTTCTTCCCCCCAACCTTTGAGGAAGAATGCAGAAGACTTAACAGTGAGCCAAAAAGATAGATTGTTGCTGGCCAGTATACAATTTTACCAGCAAGAGTTTCAGTTTCTCACATTTTCACTTCCTCAAGAAAAGAGCATGTTGAAAAACACCCTGGAAGACACTGGTGGAGGTACTGCCCTCGCCTCCCAAGCTGTAGTTGTAGCATCATGCCTGCACTAGAAGCACAGGGCTACTAGAAAACCTCATCCCTGAACTCCACTTCCATTTTTCCCAGGTCAGCATGCTCAAAGAAAGCTGAGCTCTGACCACTTACACACAGCTCCCAGGCAGGAGCCTTCCTCCTTGGCATCTCTCCTGCCAGAGAATGAGACTACAAGATGGCATCTTTTCAGTACAGAATACCTCCAGAAGATCCAGCTCATTACTTCAATTATCAAGTCAGAGAGTTTCCTCTGCAAGTAAGAATGAACAGGTCCCACCTGAGACAGTAACAGGAACGCAGGGCCATCTTCACAGCCTCTTTAGGAGTGGATCACTCCATTTCTTACAGGGAACAAAGACCACAGGCTCTTCTCTGAGCTCCTGCTTCAGGCACAAGCACCTGATCAGCCTCCATCCAAATCAAGTCCCTGAACTGTCCCACATTGGTGCCTCAGAGAGATTTGTGGACACACAACCTATCCAACCCCTTTCTGTTGGAAATTGGGAATAAAGAGAGCTCAGTTACCTTAATAATGGGCTGATAGCAATGGACCACACTCGATCCTCTGTCTGCACTGTATGGAGACACTGCCCACCTCTGCCCGCGGACAGGGACCAAACCTGAAGAGAGAGATGCATGTTATGCCACGTCACCCAGGTAGGACACACACTGCTAGTGTTGTGCTGCAAGAGCTGCCAAAACCACCACGCTCACCTTCCCTGAGATCCTCTCCCTGAAATCCCAGTCCTTAGTTTTGAGGAGCCAAACCATCAATCACTGGCAGAAACAAGCACTTAAAGTTACATAAAGATTCAGCTTACAAGTATGACCTTCCATCCCACTGGTAACAGAGAGCACCCTCATCACCCTTAATGCTCTTTAGGGCAGCACCCAACGCAGAGACTTCTCATCTTCTGTAGTTAATTAAACAGGAAGGAGATTTGTTCAAATCTCTGCTGTTCTCTTGAACAGTGTGGGAAGACTTTGTACCGTCTCCGAAAACTTTCCATTCATATTATCTATAAAATTAATAATTCATTATCCTGTAAAATACTTTGTGGTTGGCTTTTTTTTTTATAAACCCACCCCCTTTCAACCAAGTTTCTTAAGTGTATCCCCAGCTATTTTCAAACAGCCCCCCCCCTTTGCTTACCACCAGTTCACCACACACATCCCTTTGTTTATGGGTCCTAATAAAGCCCCCCAGATTCTTGCTTGTGGGCCTTCATTTTCTCCCCTTTGCCTTCATTTTTGGCCCACAGGACTGGAGCTCCTCAGTTCTCTGTAACCCACCCCCAATGTTTCACTTCAAGACTTCAAAGCTGGGAGTGCCCTATTTGTTTGTTTGTTGATAATGCCCAGGATTGCAGGCTATTCTTGTCAGCGGGGAATTTAGCACCTAGTGTCAGCAAAAGCAGCAGAAAAGCTTAACTCTTTTAAGGCATCCCTATCTCCTACAGGTTAAAAATATTGCTCAGAGCACACTATCTGGTGCCTATCACACAGGAATGTACATTAGCAGCTCTTCAGGGCTTAGTCCTAATCAACACTCAGCAGAGCCCTCAATAGCTTAGACACTTAGAGCCCCTTTAAAAGGCTGGTAGGGATTCCCTTCCACCTTCCAAGAGTCTCATTCATGCAAACAAGACAGCCTACAAAAGAGATGATAAAAAAAATAAGCGGTGACCATCCCTAGAGCCTATGCACTGGGTGGGCAAGATCTCACACCAGCTCCAAGAAAAACAGCCTTAAATTCCCCTCTGGCCTTCAGGAATTTGTTCTCAAGGTCAGGGAGCTCTGTCCTGCGGCTGTCAGGGAAGCAGCAAGAAGGCACTCTCCCAGCAAAGAGCCTCCACAGAACAGAGAGGAGCAGCCCATGCTTAAGCATGAAACAAAGCAGCATCAAGGCCTTGCTCCCAGGAGGGGAGCAGCATCCCCAACAGTACCTTCTGCATCTGAACATTGCTCTTTTCGGGAGCAATTTTACCCATACTGAGGGATCAAAGAGAACAGATAGGGTCATGCTGCTCAGCAGCCTGCCAGATAGTTACCGTTACCACACATTTCCTTTAAAACCTTGAAAGAGATATTTAAGTCTTTCTTTGCCCCAGCTTCCCCTCTTGCAAAAGAGAAACAGAGGTTTTTCCTCTTAATGCCATTAATGCTCTCCGATATGTACCGGGGACCAAGAGTATCCATCAGTTACACTGAGCTACAGCCAAAGCTTCATCATACAGCAACCAGTTCCACCAGTGAAACAAGTGGTTGTGAAGATGCTACAGGTACTACATCATGCTGCCATGACAAGGGGGAAACACTTACATAGAGAATGTCCTAAACTACTAAAACAGAGGTTGTTAGAGCTCAGAAAACAACTCTCCAGGTCCACATAGGAACATCGCACTGCCAACTAGATTCAGAAGGACTAAAACCAAAAATTGTGCTATCTGACAGGATTCAGTGATGCCAACTGGAAGAGAAAAATGGGAGCTAACAGCATTCATAGTCTGACTTCACTCTTGGTTTGCAAACCAAGAACCATAAAAAATTAAAATAAATAACTGTTTAAAAAAAAAAAACAACACCACCAAAACCTACAAATAAGCAAGCCACAACCCCACAAATTTGGAAAAGGCATCATACTATCCCTTAAAGTGATCAAATATAGAACAGGGAGCACACGAAGCCACAGTGTGCCACAAAGCAAGGCTGTGCTTGAGATACATGGCACATTTCAGATTAACTACCAGGGATCTCCACTGCACGTTTTGCTTGTTTTATTTGCAAGATGTTTTGCTTCTCTCACTGTACATCGCTGCAGCCTTCTGCACGTCCTAGTTTAAACCAGCAGCTGATGTCAGAAAGTACTGCCAAATCTCTTTCTTAAAAGCTTGGCACAGCAAGCAGCTTTTCAGACACATGAGCCTATGCCAAGGTACCCAGGGCTCCTCCTGCAGACACACAAGACGTGGGTCACAGCTGTTCTGCTGACACAAACATCCATGATACAGGACCTCTGAGGTCACTTCTGCAGCAGCACCTGCTGGAACTTCACTGCTCACCTTCGCTGTTCTGTCCCTGGAGCCACTGACAATGAGGCCACCTTGGAAGTCCACACAGTTCACCTCCTGTTCATGTGCAGAGAACTTCACGCTGTAGGAGCCATGGATCTTGTGAAGGATGATATTTCCATCTCTGAAAAACAAATCCCCAGACAGAGAGTCCGTATCAGCTGCATCTCCCTTGGACATGCACCTTCCATCAGTGCTTAGGAATGCCACAAAAAGCCCAAGACTGTTCTCTCATGGAAGCTGGAATCCATGCAGTGTTATTAACCCTCCACTCCTCACACATCACCTGTTCTCCTGCAATCCCACATGTGGCCATTCAAAGCCTGATCTGCCACACATGACAATTTTCCTGGCTATCTTTCCCCTTTCACTTTGTGTTAAGCTGCATAAACTAGCAGAGCAGCCATTCCTCCTCCTATTGCTTTAAGCTTGCCAAAATCCTTGCTGGAGGCTGAGTGGCTGGAGTAAGGGAATAAGCGAGAGGTCATTCTCACCCACATCCAAACCTCAGCTTTTCATTCATTGCAGACCAGCACTGCAGGGTATTGTGCTTTGAATTAACTACAAAGATATTTAGACTTTTTTTCAACCAATACAGTTAGTGGAATTTTAAATGCATGCCTCAATTTTTACCTGAATTTTGGGCTACAGTTAACCAGAGACAGTCTGAGGACAGGCAGGGCAGACAGCCACGCTTGCACCGCCCAATTGTGTGCTTAAGTACTCTGAATATTAATAGCTAAAACTTTATAAATAACAGTTCTGTCATTTGCTGTAATTGAAAAAGGCCAGTCAAATGCAAAATTAATTGGAGAAGTGTGTGTGTGTGCTGGAATGCTTGGCAGTTTTCCCCCCTCTCCACAATTATATCAGTGGGTCTAATAAACATATACTTGTCTCTGGAAAGCTTTATACAGCACTGTGGTCCCAGTTAACCAGCAGATCTGAATATGGGAACACAGTCTAGCTCCCCACGCTCTTAACTGGGGAAGAAATGAAAACTGCACAGCAGTCAATCCTGATTAAACAATCCTGTGGACATCTACAGAAGCTCAAAAGAGAAAAGGACAGTTTTTATAAAGTCAACAGCATGAGACTCAGCTCCTCCACAGCTGTAGTAGAAGATTTTTCACAGAATCACAGAATCACAGAATCACAGAATCACAGAATCACAGAATCACAGAATCACAGAATCGTTCAGGTTGGAAGAGACCCCTTGTCATCAAGTCCAACCATCTCCCCTGCTCTACAAAGTCCTCCCCTACACCATGTCCCTCAGCACTGCATCTAAACGGCCCTTAAACACAGCCAGGGATGGGGACTCCACCCCCTCCCTGGGCAGCCTGTTCCAATGCCCGACCACTCTTTCCGTGAAAAATTCTTTCCTAATGTTCAGTCTAAACCTCCCCTGTTGGAGCTTGAAGCCATTCCCTCTCGTTCTGTCACTAATTACCTGTGAGAAGAGACCAGCAGTGTCTCTACAGTGTCCTTTCACGAAGTTGTAGAGAGTGATGAGGTCTCCCCTCAGCCTCCTCTTCCTCACACTAAACAGCCCCAGCTCCCTCAGCCGCTCCTCATACGATTTGTTTTCCAGCCCCCTCACCAGCTCCGTTGCCCTCCTCTGCACTCGCTCCAGCACCTCCAGATCTCTCTTGGATTGAGGTGCCCAAAACTGGACACAACACTCCAGGTGTGGCCTCCCCAGTGCTGAGTACAGGGGCACAATCACCTCCCTGCTTCTGCTGGTCACACTATTTTTGATACAAGCCAGGATGCCATTGGCTTTCTTGCCCCCCTGGGCACATTGCTGGCTCATATTCAGCCGTTTGTCAACTAGAACCCCCAGGTCTCTTTCTTCCAGGCAGCTCCAGCCACACTTCCCCAGCCTGTAGCGCTGCAGGGGGTAGAACTAAATCATAAAAGAGAAAGCAGCAGTAGTTGAAGGTAGCCAGGAGTGAGGATAGCGTGTAGCAAGATGGACCCCCCTCTGCACTGGGCTGGAGTTACACAAAACCTTCCCAACTTCACTGCCACACTCCTTGGGCTCCTTCATTCCCCCAACTTACCCCCCTCCGCTGACGATGTGGGAGTTGACAAGAACAAAGCGACACACGTCCTCCTGGTGGCCAGAGAAGATCGCCTGAGGGTGCCGCTGCAAACCTGCGCCGTCCGGACAGAGCGGGTAGGCCTGGATGTTCTCTGCTTGAGACAGGTAGAGATACTCTCCATCCAGCTCCATCCAAGGCATCAAACTGCAAACAGAGAGCAGGTTGGGGGAGCGCAGTGGGGATGAAGACAAGAAAACAAAACAAAACAAAAAACTTCACACCCAAAAAGGAAAAAAAAAATAGCTTTTGATGATGTTTACACATGCCATCAAATGCCCACTCAAGAAAACTGTGAAGTTGGACCTTCTGGTGGCATGTAAAAGCAGGGCTTAATGTAGTGGCGCAGTTAAGGAGTGAAGCTTCTCCAGCAACATACAAAGCAGATCACGTTGCTGACATTTTTCTAACAAAGGGCTGAGGAAAAGGAAGCACAGAATCTCTGAAAGAGAAGATGGCCAAGAGTCTAGGGAGTTTAGCTAGGAAATACTTAAGGCTCCCTGACCTCTCTTCACAAGCCCTACACTTTTTAAGAAACTAGACAATCAGGCATTTGTGAGCTACACCCAGCATTTCTAACAGAACCTTCAATATGGGGCTCTTGGTGCAAACAGTCAGTCTTGCACATGAGCTGCTGATGTCCAGCAGAGACCACAAAGCTGCCATTGTCTCACACCCATGAGCAGGGGAGCAGGTCACATTGACTAACACAGGCCTTCCTACGGACACAAAGTTTTCCACCTCCTGCATTCTCTCTATGCTGATACATAAAGCAGCAGGGTAAGCCCGAGGCTGTCCAAGAACTTTGTGCTCATCATATAAAGGAGGTATTTTCCTATGTTCATACCTCTTCCACTACTGAACCAAAAGCAATTGCAGAGCAACCTCTTGATTTCTCTTGCCTGTCTTTCAGAAGAGCCCATACACCCTTTTTCCCCCCTTGCTATTTACAGGTAGCAGGTTCCAGGCCAACAGCAATGGACTGCTAAAGGAGCTGCTCCAAAGGATTTTGAAGATTGAAGTTACAAATAAAAAATATGTTTCACTTTGTGGGAGACGAAGAAGAGGAGGAGACGCTCAAGGGATGTCTGAATCAAGTCTGTCATCACAAGAAGTTTATTATTATCTAAACAAAACAGGCTACAATGCACACTTGGGCAGGGAGCTCTTTGCTGTCCTTTTGTGTAGCCACCAGAAAATCAGCAAATAGGCCTTCTGGCTACAGCAAGGCCAGATACAAAAAGACTTTATGGGCCAGGGTATGTGAAATTGTCTCCACTTTGCAGTCATTGCTGAGTGCACCAATACCCACGCAAACACTGAGCAAAGCCAGAGCCCTTCCATAGAGCAGTCTTTCAGTTTTCAAACTATTCACGAACAAACTGTTTTGAAATCAGAGGGCTTCTCATAAAAACCTGTCTCCCTCTTTTTTGAAGTTATTCATCCTCAGAGATCCTGATTTTCTGTGCCAGCAGAGCCATTACGCACAGCGATACTCATAACATCACTATGAGGAACCAGAAACAAGCAAGAGGACAAGATTGCCTATTAGACAGAAGGTTCCTGCTTGCCTGCATTCATCTCCAATAATAGGATTTTAGTAACATGGGCAGAGCATAGGTTATAATGTTCATTTGGGACTTGATCATACGCATGTGAAAAATAAGAGGCATCTTTAGAGCAGCAGCCTTGGTTTTAGGCCGGCTGTGATTTCCCCTTCCTTCCTCCACACCCACACACTCCTCTGAAGGCAAGTGAATATCCAGCTTACCCAGACTACAGCCCGTTTCTGTGGCTCTCCTCAGGCTGCACTTTAGCTTTTTACTTTTTTCTATGGCTTTTTCATAAGGAGAAGTAACAAATTTGAAGCAGGATAAATGAAGATTAGAGGATTCAGTTGGGATGGTGGCCTCATTAAATCAGCCCTTGCCTTTCACTTGGGAAGCTGGTTTAGTAATGATCTCTAACGTCCACAGAGCCTGGCCTCACAGATGGTTGCAAGCACTTCAAAGGCAGGTACACATCCTGCACCAAAACCCACTCTCCTCATTGCAGCTGTTCTGAGGACTTTAGACAAGCAGTGGCACATTATCCACCACTTCATTCTACACAACACAAAAAGGCATGAAATCTCAATAGCAGGTCCCTGTTCTGCAGCAGCTAACAAACCATAGCCCTTCTTATTTCTCCTTCCACCCAATGATGTGAAGACTGAAAATTTAGATGTACTGCTCAGACAAGAGTCTACCTTATGGTTGGCTTTGAAAGCTGAGTATACCTTTGCAACTAAGAATTTAATTATCTCCTCATATCAAATATGCCGAGACCCATGGGAGGAGGTTCAACAAGGCCAAGTGCCAGGTTCTATTCTTGGGTCACACCAACCCCTGCAGCGCTCCAGGCTGGGGGCAGAGTGGCTGGAGCTGCCTGGCAGAAAAGGACCTGGGGGTGTTGGTCGCCTGTCGGCTGAACAGGAGCCAGCAGTGTGCCCAGGTGGCCAAGAAGGCCACCAGCATCCTGGCCTGTGTCAGGAACAGCGTGTGGTATAGGACTCGGGAGGTGATGGTCCCCCTGTACTGGGCACTGGGGAGGCCCCATCTCGAGGGCTGGGGCCAGTTTTGGGCCCCTCAACACAAAAAAAGACCTTGAGGGGCTGGAGCAGGTCCAGAGAAGGGCAACGGAGCTGGGGAGGGGTCTGGAGAAGAAGTCTGATGAGGAGAGGCTGAGGGAGCTGGGGGGGTTCAGCCTGGAGAAAAGGAGGCTGAGGGGAGACCTTCTGGCTCTCTCCAACTCCCTGAAAGGAGGGTGTAGCCAGGGGGGGTCGGTCTCTGCTCCCAAGTCACAGGCCATGGGACAAGAGGAAATGGCCTCAAGTTGCACCAGGGGAGGTTCAGATTGGAGATTGGGAACAATTTTTCCACGGGAAGGGTTGTTAAGCCTTGGAATGGGCTGCCCAGGGCAGGGGTTGAGGCCCCATCCCTGGAGGGATTTCAAAGCCGGGTTGCCATAGTGCTTAGAGCCATGGGGTAGTGATGGTTTTATCAGAGTGAGGGTGATGGTTGATCTGAAAGGTCCCTTCCAACAAGGGAATGATTCTTATGCTTTTTTTATTTTTCCCAGAAAAGGAGGGAAGCATAAGGTGGTAGAATGAAGAAGCACAAGGCAGAACTATGGCAATTTGCATTTTATATTTCTACATCCAAATCTGGGGTCAGGATAGAGCATGGGAGACAAATGAAGTATTCTCAGGGGACACAGAAGTCAATATCTGGGACCAAGGTACAACCACTGTGAGAGCAGGACAGAAAATTGCTCATGGCATACAACAACAGATAGGAACATAACAGTCTGAAGTCTGTAGTAAAGACTGCTAAATCCAACTACAACTGCACAGATCTGAACAATGCCAAATTCAAGCTCTTACTAAAAGAGGAGCTCTTGACTCCCAGAATGAATCTCTAGGGCAAGACAGCAACTGCAGTTACCGCACACCCAGCTAGCCAACATCATCACTTGTAAGATCCCATGGTTCACTAGGGGCAAGAAAGATCTCATTTCAGGGCAGAGACACAAACCCAAGGCCTGAAAGGAGCTGCCACAGAACAAAGTAGAGGAAAAAGGAGCCACTTGCTTGCATTTCCATTTCAGGACTGTCTCCCTCCGGCAGCGTCCGTGCCTCCAGTTCCGAGATACTTTCACCCTGTCCTTCACTGGAATGCCAGCCGCTCTGCAGACAGAGGGAGAGAGATGAGATTAGCAAGCAGGATTGATGCTATGTGTACAACAAATACACTCACAAGCTGGTCACAGGTGTGTTCTCACTCTGGTGCCACATGGAAGTGGCAAACATTGCTCTGGGCCACACCAGAGCAAGCACACCCCTAAGCGTTGACGAAAGGAGCACTGGGCAGAGTGGGTACTTATCAGCAAAGAAAGCCAAACTGATGATCACTAATGTACAAGCCTTAAATCTGATCAAAACCTGGTCTAGTGTACTGAATGCAACACGGGTTCAGACAAAATTTAATCAGAGTAAGTTGACATGGAAAGAAACCACAAGAACAACCAGAGAAACAGAACATCACTCTTCTAATAGAGACTAAAGAAAGCCAGTTAAGATAAGGGTAACGCCATACAGGAACAGATCGGGGAAACACTAGTCAGCAAAATATCAAAACTAGAAGCCAGAAGATCATGTCCAGCCAAAAGACTAGTAAAGAAACTGCTCCAGACTCTCACCTGCCTGACAATCACATCACCAGATATCTTGATTTCTAATTATTTTATGTTCAAACTAAAAATGAAATTTATTCATCTGTATAACCACCCAAAGCACACACACCCCAAGACAGACCATCTTTTGCAACAGCTCACCAAGGGATAGAGAATTCAACCACATCGCTGGAAAATTCTCTGCTTACAGTCAGACAAAGTTACTAAAAGAGAGACTGCAGTTCATAAGCAGTTGCTGGGATACAAATCAAAGTTATTGGGACAAGCTGAGACAAGCCAAGATCAACACAGCTCAAGAGGTGACAAAAGGTAGGTACCACAGAGACCTGGGACCAAGGTCTCTTTAGACTCAACAAGAGCATACGCAGCTCAAGCAGCTGTTCAACATCCGTTCTGCTTTCAGGATCCAGGGCTGATTAAAGGATGGGGGGGGTGAGGTGGGGGGTGGAAGGCAGCTTCAGCTCCTGTCTCTCTCATATCATAAACTTAATTATTCAATATCCCTGGTGGAGCTGCTAAGGTAGAAGAGATGAGAAAAATACAAACAAGAAGAAAGTCTTGAATTTCTCCTTTGTAACTAGGGGTTGTGAACCACTCACTAGATTACAAGACTTTCCTCCTTTCATGCACTTCTCAACAGTCAATGTTCCCAAATGCATAGGATGAAGGGAAGATCCTTGAGAGATGGTGACTGGTGCCTGATCAGGTTCCCTCCTCCCATCCCTACTGTTACCCAAACACACTTCCAAAAAGCGGAGTTTTTGGGTACTCTGTAATTTTTAAAACAAAGATTAGCTCCCTGTAAATAAACATCTCCTTTGGTTGTTAATGGGTGTAGGAATCTCTAACCTGGCCCTGGGGCCTGGCCAGATTCTCATTTTCCCAGCCTTCCTTCCATAGCCTCGGGCTCCTTTTTTTCTGCTCACCCTTCCCTCCCCTTTTCTGTGCTTTCCGGCACTTAGTCACCATTATAATTTGACTGCATTCCTGGGCACGTGACCCATTTTAAACAAAAACAGAAGCCACACACATAAAAGCCCCTAGAAAGCTTTGACACTGTAAGTTTATGATCAGTAGAGCCACACCAAATAAACCCAAATTTAGGAAGCTATGAGCTCTTTATTTCTCCTCTAGAGAACTCTAGAGTTAGCCTAGGCTGCAAGAAGAGGAATTCCTTTTTTAAAGGGAGCACTTGCAGGAGCTCGTGGGGCCAGATAGTGTCTGAGATGAGGAATGCACAGCACTGAGAAGTCAAGTCAAGTACAGCAGCCTCCTCATCGCTTATTACTCTCCCAGACAGAGTTCAGGCTCTCCGCCTACATCCAGTTCCATTTATTACTCCAAAACACTTCTCCTCCCCACACTCAACCCTCAGTTAAGTTCTCCCCATGTACAGATTTTAAGCCACCAGCTCACACAGTGATGGAAAACACACTCACGCCACAACCCCCCTCCCAACGTGTACTGGCCCAACCAGACATCCTGAGCTCAATGCACAAACCCTACTAAGGCTAGATGTAATTTCCAAGGCTCTGAAAAAGGTGAATCCAAGGTCAAAAACGCAACCCCCATCTTACACTGCTGGTCACTTTGCTAGTTGGGGAAGAGTCTTTGATCCTCCTGCTGCTAAAAGGGGAATTTCAGAAGAGTCACACATCGGCTTGGCCCACAGTACCTGTCCACTACTGCAGTTAGTCCTGTCACAAACACATCTTTCTTTCATACAAATCAACAGTTTCTGTCTGGAAGGAGTGAGGTGGGTGGGGAGGGCTATATGGGGGAGGTCTGGTAGGGTTTTGGGGGGCTTTCTTTGTTTTACTGCTAATGGGTACATTATTCATCCAGCCTGCCACCTCCATACAGCAATTCTGGACTCAGCTCATTCACACGCATCTTGGAAACACCTACCTTTTACTTCCCAGACAATTTATTTATGCAAAATAGAGGAAGAATGGGGACAGAACATGAGGCCACGGTAAAGGGGATGTAGAAATTGGCCTGATACATCTCTCCCCTTTGCCAAGGGCAGCAGAGATTGAACTGAAAAATCATTAAATCATTGCAAGTGTTGGTCAAAGACATTTGATCCCCTTTAGCAGAAGGGAAGTTAAATCAAGCCCCCTGATGGAATCAGATGCTGAGATATAATTTGATTTGCTTCCTCAACGGCACTCTCCAAAGCAACTCCCAGAATACATCAAAAAATGTGATGAGCATCAATGAAATGCATGCAAGCAGTTCCCAAATCTTAGAAAGTTAAGAAGGGCATCACCCTTAATCATTTGATAAAAAAAGATCCTTTTCTCCTCTACAAAGATGATTTTGCTTCAATCATGATCAATACACTTTCTACACATACAAAACATTAAGAATTGTTCCATGATGACCAAATCAACAGACATCACACATCTACACTGAGTGGTTGACTTAACCAAGTCCCTCCCACTTCAGCAACTGCATTGGGCATCCAAAGATTGAGGAGACTAACCCACCTTATGAAGACAAATCACAGAATCACAGATTTGTCAGAGTTGGAAGGGACCAGCCAATGAATACCTTGACCTTTCCTCATATGCAAACCAGCAAAAACTAAGCCATGTGCTTAAAATTCTGTACATGCTTAAGTGCTCCGTGAAACCAAGATCTTGGCATCCACGTTCTCAGAGAAGCCACCCAACAGTGAATTTCAAGACTGCTGAAGGCCTGCTCACTTGAGGAAGGACTGTTATTTTTGTTGGGACCTATACAGCCCTGCATTGGAAAGTAACTGAAGCACAGCTCAACATCCTAGAATGATGACCAGAAAAATAGGAAGAAACCAGTGAAGACTGAATTAAATTTAGGCAAAAAGTTCTTAAAGCCCAGAGTCCATCATTTTACCACCTCTGCTAGGGCATCGCAATAATCAACAGCTCATAAAATTAAGTGATGCAGAACATGCAAGGCTACCTTTGTTATTAATTAATTAAAAATCCACTCTATCAGGATCCCAAACCATGTGGTGCAATAAATGACCTGAGCTAATGCATGTTTCCAATTGCACACATTCCTGATGGAAGCTCCCTTTACAAAGGCTTCCTTACACTAAGAAAGAGAAGCTGAACATTTCTTACAGCCTGAGAGAGAGTTCCAGCATAAAAGCCATCCCAAGCAACCCATTAGAAGGGATTTTTCATTTCCCTCTTCCTACGTCACCCCCACCCTACAAAAAAAAGTTAAAGTATTTTGCTCAAATTGTGGATTTCCTCTCTTTCTTGGCAGAGTTACCAAAAGAAATGTAATATTCCTTCTGGAGCCTGCTTTCCAGCTGCTGAAGTGAGAGACTTGGGACTATCCCCCCACAGCACCACTGACCCAGGTGACCTCAGACACCATGGCAGTTGCTGGCCTGGGCCCCCAAAAAAAAGCAATGAAAGAATCACTCAGCCAGAGACTGAGCACGTCTCCTTCCAGAGCTTCACCTCCAACAGTTTTTGCCTTCCATGATCCCCTTCCCAGCCAAAGTCCTTTGCCACCTGAAACGGTTTTTCTGCAATAGCAAGAGCTTCTGTGCTTTACCACATCCCGGAGAGATTTCTACTGGTCATCTACAATTTCAGCATGTGCCAAAGCAATGGTGCCTGCAACAACACATACTGTGTTGCAGAAGGGTACACCAACATGTCATGCTGTATATTTTCCCAGCTGCATGGGGCATCCTAATCCACCAAAGTCCTTCACTCTTTGCTACATTTTAAGTGCCAAAGAGCTCATCTGGAAATGCAAGTCTGCAGAGACCTGCTGAGGCTGAACCTCTTCTGTGGACAAAATCTGCTATCTGCATAAAAGCTGTCACCAGCCTGCCTCGGGCCTGACTGGAAGGGTCATACAGAGGAACAAATAGGTCACAGTGGCTAAGCCCCACTTTCAACCTTGGCCCTGTGGCAGGGATGGCTCATACAGGGGCCAACTGCACTTATTTGTGTAATCGGGACACACCTGTTGAGCGGCAGGGTCTCGGCGCAGTTACAAGTCATGGGCCACCAACAGACAGCAGAGAGGGAAAAGCTATTTATGTCCAGAGCTCCTGTTGCTGTCCTCAACAAATCGTCCAGCTCTCAAAATGTCTCTTTCAGGACAAAAATTCCACCTGAATTCCTTTAGCACATGCCCCTTATTTAGCTTACCGCCAGGTCCAATCTGTCTTCTACGCTCCCCCCTTCCTATCTGACATGGGTTCGCATAACTCTGAGATGGAAGAGAGCTCTGCAGACTCTTCTCTTGCTGGTCCTTGCCTCCTCTGGCGTGTCTATGATATCCCAGTTAGATGTTACCAGGTTAATTGCTCTGCTTCACAGCTCTCATTCACCTGCACAAACAAGCCAGAGACTATTAAGAACCAGAGCTGCAGGAAAGTTTCTGTATGCACAGCAAAGACACACACCTTCGCATGGGCTTCCCAAAAAAACATCATCACAAAGACTGAGCCAGACCACTCTGCCATCAGATGTCCCT